GGCTGCACCCACCTGACGGGTGCATGCGTCGGAAACGATTCAGCTCCGAGCGAGCTGGCTGGAAAGAGCCGCATCTGGAGCACGCTGACTCACCCACGCTGCGCGATTGATCCACCCGGGTAGTCGCGCACCTGTGAGCCTCTGCAGCAGGGCATCTGAAAAGTGATTGCTGTGTGTGGGTGAGAGCCGAGGGCGAGACCTGAGCTAAACTTGTCTGTACATCAAGCTATTCAAGCATCGCTCAGTGCTCACCAGTTGCGAGCCAGTAGATCGTAGTTGGTGCCGTAATACTGCGGATCTTCCTTCATCTTCACGAGAGGAGCGCGATGTGATCAGCGCGGCTGCGTGTCGAACGAGGGCTGGATGCCAAGGTGCTGAGAGGACTGCCATCACGACTCACCTCCATGATCACTTTGAGAGACCAAGCTAAGCTCCGTGCACGAGCGCCTCTGTGCCTCGCACTCCGATTGCGACCTCCCGAGCCCGTCGATGCATCCGCTTCGCCCACTCGAGGTTCCAAGTACGCATTCCAGCCGCTCTGAGGCGCTGCCCACCTGCCCGTCTCCTTGTTTGGGCGATCAAGCCGAGAACCAGCTGGAATGCACGGAGTAGCGCCAGTATCTGAGCTTTGCGATGCCTGCTCTGCTTGCGTATGCGATACTTCTGGGGCCCCAGCATAGCCTATGAACCAACTACCTACGTATCGAGCCTCCGGCAACGGGCTAGGACCGGGTGCTGGGATCTTGCGCGGGCCAAGCCTGGACAGCCCATCATCTGGTCTGCCTGTCTCGCCGTCACGAGGCAGAGCAAAGATACCAGTCACAGAGCTGAATAGCGAGGAAGCGCGCGCGATGATGAGCTTGCGAGAACGACCAAAGAGATGCTGGCCAGTCGTAGTACCTGATTGCGTGATGCAGTCTCGAGTTGGACGACGCATTGACCTGCACACTCACGCAACATCGTGCCCTCCGTAACCCCACTCGGTGGCAGCATCAGGCAGCCAAACATCCGTATGCAGCACTCCGAGGCCACAATTGTAGGCAAAGCTTGCCCATCTAGAAGGCGGCAACAAGTCCCACACTGTCAAGTAGACTGGCGTGCCGTGAGCGCTGGGAGATGCGAATTCGAGCGTTTGTGGGGACATGCTGGTTGATCCTTGTGCGCAACGAGACGATTCTGAGTGGTCGATGGCCCAGTCGGTCGACCAGAGATTGCATCGGCAGTCACGAAGTGCCGATGACGTATGACGTCGCTGATCTTGGTACCGAGGAGAGCTTAGCAGGAAGCGGGACAGCCTCGAAGCCATCGAGGTTCTAGCTAGTCTGATGAGTCATGCGTACCTCTTGTCTACACACATTGTACAATACAACATACTTGTAGCTGCTCGAGGGCAACATCCGTGCAGCTAGCGCTCTCGACACGTGACCGACCACATGTGCGGTGGGACGCGCTCGACGAAGCTTTCACCGCGCGCGCACGCCATCTCCTGTCGCCGGCTCCGGGGCAAGGATGATGCCGATGGAGACCCCGCGGCAATCACAAGCGGCGATCGACGGGCGCCGGCAAGAGGCAAGTCGACGCGAAGAGGAGGCAAAGACCATCATTCACCATCGTCCTCGCATCGACGTGCTTCGACACTCTCTTCGGCACCAAGCTTGCGCTCGACCTGATTCCTCTGTGTCCACTACCAGAACCGGGGGAACTGTCCTGAGCCGATCGACACCGCATACACCGTTCATGCCCCTGCTCACCGCTGGGCGTCATCTGCGCGCACTCAACTTTGCGAGATTCAAGACAGCACCGCTAGTATTGCAGCCGCCGTACAACGCAAGGCTCAGAGCGCACTCTAGTCTTCCGAATCTTTTCACCGCGCGTAACACAAGACCAGTGCCAAGCATGAGTGGCAGTGATGACTCGAGCAAGCCTAGTTCCACTGTTGGCAGACTGGCAGCGATCGGTCGACAGCTGCTACCCAGCTCTGCGCTGTCCACCTCTAGCACGTGGAAAAGTAGCGACGGCGCCACGTCGGCGGCCACTCCAGGAGAGCGACGAGGTACGCTCAGGCTAGGCTCCAGTGTCGAGCTGCCGGTGTTTGCACCTCACGATGAGACCAGACTGCCAGACCCACGTCTGCTGTTGGACTTACATGATCCGGTCGTCAGGGATCACCTCGAGTGGCTGGCAAGAAAGTATAGCCTCAAGCAAGACGCGTTGTAAGTAGCATGGAGATTGCGCTGGATGCTCCGCCAAGGCAGCGCGCGCTGACTTTGGACTCGCTCCTGTCAGCCTCATCTCTCCGCCTGGTCCCTTTGCACGGCGACTGGCACTCACCTTCGCCGCGCTGCTCCAACTACCAGTGGAGCACGTGTCGCTGCACCGGGATGTGGGCGAGTCGGAGCTGATCCAGACTCGCAACTTGGCTGGAGGGACCACGCTGACGTACCAAGATGGACCTGTGGTGAGGGCCATGAAGAGAGGCAGCATCCTCATCCTGGAAGGAGTGGAGCGCGCTGAGCGTGCCAGCATGCCGCTGCTCAACAATCTCATCGAGGTGAGGACAGTCGATGCGCTACGTAGTCAAGCGATCAGCTCCTGTCTCGCCTGCTGCTCATATATGCATCATCCCTAATCCTGCAGAACCGCGAGATGGGACTGGCTGACGGCACTCACTTGGTGCCGAGGAGCACCTTGGAAAAGGCCAAAGCGGCTGGCGAAAATCAGACGTTTATCCCAGTCAGCGACGCGTTCTTTGTCATCGCAATCGGTTTGCCGTGAGTCTGTCATGTAGTGCGAGTACCTGCGCGCCCAACTCACGCTGCTACTATTCATCCATCACATTGTTGTAGGGTCCCGCCTTACAAGGGTTTGCCATTGGACCCACCTTTCCGATCGCGCTTTCAAGGTCGATGGGTCGAGGGGGTCGTCCCTTCCACACTGTCCAATGTCCTTTCGCCCGACAAGCAAGCCAAGGAGTTAAGCGATGCGCTCACCCAGCGCTTTTTCGAGTGGGCTTCCCTGGTGCGACTGCACGGCACTGCTGCCACTGCTGACGAGGTGCTGCCACCAGCAGAGCGCCTGCCTAACGTCCCAGCTACTGCTCTGAGCCTCTTGTCGGATCTCGCAGCGCGCTTCCCGCCAGCAGTATCTCTCCCACCACTACCCTCGTTCGATGAGACGGACGACGGCACTCGCCCGACAGCACCAAATTTGCCCACGGCTCCTCCTCGCAATGGCGCTCTCCAGGTGCACGAGTCAACCAGAGCGCGGGTCGAAGCTCGCGAGACCGAGCAACTGAAGCAGTATGCTGAAGATCAAGCCAAGAACAAGAAAGGGGACGGCTCCATAGCCCCCAGCACGAGGGCGCTGCTAGGCGCAGGCTACCCCATGCTCCACACACTCGACCCCACCAGGCGAGAGCTTGCCGCTGATCTGCTCGCTGCTGTATCATTGCACGCTGGTGTTGGTGGTGGAGGCGCAGAAGTGGAGGAAGGTAAGGGTTTGCTGGGATACCGCGTGACTGGCATCGTGCGGGCCGCAGACGACGCAGCGGATGCCACGTTCGAGCAGGAGCAAGGCCGCAAGGTGACTGTACGCGTCCCCGCTGGTCCTCTGCAGCTTGCACCGCTGCCATTGGTGAGCAATGATAAAGCGGCTCCCAATGGACTACTCTTCACCCCACGACTAGCGGGCGTCATCACGAGCATGCTTCAGCTGCACGCCGTCGGCCGAGACGTTATCCTTCTGCCTTCTGCGCTGGCTGCAGACAAAATCAAGGGAGAGGTGTCTCCTTCGTCATCATCAAGCACGTCCACTTCTATAGGTCTGTTTGCATCTTTGCTCGGCTATCCGCATGAAGGCGTTCATCTGTATAAGGATCTGGGGGGAGGAGAGCTCATCGCTCGTCGAGCGACCACCAAGGACGGCAGCACTACCTGGGAAGCCGCGCCTCTGCTCCGTGGCGCGCTCTCTGGAACGCTAGTCCATCTGTCCGGCATCGACGTCCTGGGCCCCACCCTTGGCGCCTTGGCTCGTCTCACCCAAGACCGAGAAGCTGAGCTCTGGAGTGGCGGTCGTGCAGCGTTACCAGGCGCTCTGCCGTCCGTCGAAGGAACCGACATCGCAGAGAAGCGCCTCACCACAATCAATCCCTCTTTCCGCGTCATTGGCACAGCATCATCCTCCAAGCCGGAATGGCTGAACGAAGAAGCCTCCGCTCTTTTCTCTTTCGTCGCACCTGCCCCAATGTCTGCAGCAGAGGAGCTGAGCGTCATCGTTTCTCGCTCTGGAGCCAGGCCGGCGCAACTCGAGCCTCTGCTAGCCTTCACGGCTCGGTACCGTGCTCTGGCAGCCGATCCTGCGCTGGGCTTGCAAGCCTCTCGTCGACTTGGAACCAGAGCTCTAATTCGCATCGCCACTCGCATCACCCAGTACCCCTGGACGGACCTTTATGCCACTTTAGCACGCACACTACTGATCGAATTCCTGCCTCGCACCACCGCAGCTCTGGTTCAAAGCGCTCTGTCTCAGACAGAGTTGAGGCCCCGTGGATCTGAAGGAGCTTTCCAATATGTTCCTCCAGAGCACTTGTCCGCGCCAGAGATCCAAAACGGGGTGCTGTCTTTCCGCAATATCAATGCTCCTGGAGCTCAAGACAACCCGCAAGCTGGCGTGGTAAACATCCCACTGTATGATGCAGCGAGCAAAGATCCAGCAGGGCTTTCACTTGTGCCTACCATGGAGCACTTCTACGACAACCCAGCTCAGAGCGCTCTATTGCGCGACATTGGAATTGACTTGCTCGAGAATGACGTGCTGCTGATGGGCAATCAAGGAACGGGAAAGAACAAGCTAATCGACCGGCTCGCCATGCTCATCGGCCGACCAAGAGAGTATGTACAGCTGCACCGAGACAGCTCGGTTTCGAGCATTTTGCAACAGGTGCAGCTTGTGGATGGTCAGTTGACTTTCTTGGAGAGTCCGCTAGTCAGAGCCATTCGCACGGGACGACTTTGCGTCATCGACGAGGCAGACAAATGCCCAGCTTCGGTCACTGCAATTTTCAGATCCCTGGTGAGTTTGCGATGTCAGGTCACAGCTTTGGAAGATGTATCTCACTCCTCTCTATTTGTCTCAGGCCGAGCGCCGTGAGCTTACTCTACCAGACGGAAGGCGCGTACGACCTGAAGGCTCGCTTGGCAGCGACAAAGATGTCGTCGCACATCCAGACTTCCGTCTCGTGCTGCTTGCCAACCGACCTGGGCATGGCTTCCAAGGCTCTGACTTCCTCAGCGTCATCGGGGAAGGCTTTGCGATGTTCCAAATTTCCAACCCTTCGCACGAATCCGAGGTTGCTCTTCTGCGGCAAGTTGGACCTCACGTGGATCCTAAACTGATCAAACAGCTAGACCTGGCTTGGTGCGATCTGCGTGATCACTTCGATCAAGGTAGCTTGCATTATCCTCTGTCGATGCGAGAACTCATCCACATCGTACGCCACCTTGAGCGATACCCGGCCGAGCAACTGGTCGACGTGCTGCTCAACACGCTTTCATTCGACCTTCAAAGACCTGAAGTCATGGAGCTAGTCGCTCGAACACTTGCTAAGCGTGGGCTCAATGTCAAGGGTCTCAGCCTCGCCGCTATTCGCCAGAAAGAAGAGGAAAAGCAGAAAGTAGACGCGGGTCGCGTGGAGTTTGACCCTGAATCTGCTGGCCGGTGAGTAGAAGTGTAGCATCCTCGGCTGGTGTTGCTGCGAACACATACTCACCCATTGCATGGTCTTGTGCCCCTCCAGTGACACCAATCTCGATAAGCCAAAGGAGGGAAAGACTGATCCTGACAACAAGGAGCACTCCGGCGGAAATACTTGGCGAGGAGGTACGGGTGGTCGCGACACTGCTGGCTTGGGTGGACGAGGCGGCTACGAACGCCTTTACTCTGGCCATGAGATCAAGCAGATTCCCGATTCACTCAAGCGGGACGTGCCCGAGCACATAAAGGAGCAAGCCAGACAAATGGCAAAGGAGGCTCTGGCGAAGAAGCTTGCAGAGGAGGGGATGACTGCTCATGAAGGTGCAACGCGTGAGTCGAGCTGGTGTGAGCTTCACCACGCTTCTCGCACTGACTGAAGTGGTCACGCACAGTGCAAGCGTACAAGCTAGAACTCGCCCAGCACATCAACAACCTCGTGCTCACGCTCAACCAAGTACAGACAGCTGCTAAAGAGAGACAGTGGCTGAAGCGCCAAGAGGAAGGTCAGCTCGACGAGTCCCGTTTGACGGATGCTTTGACGGGCGACAAAGGAGTGATGAAGCGAAGAGCCGAACAACCCCCCGACCCCTTTGCGCCGCAGACCAAGCCAAAGCGTATCCGCATCCTAGTCGATGTTAGCGCAAGCATGTACTCGATGCAGTACGACGGCAGACTGGATCGCGAACTCAAGACTGTGCTCATGGTCATGGAAGCTTTTGCTAGGACCGAACCTGGCAAGTATGTCTATGACATCTGGGGTCACTCGGGTGAATCGGACCACATTCCTCTCGTCATGGCCGACAAGCCTCCTGCCTCCGCTGGAGACCGCTGGCGCGTGCTTCGTGACATGACTAGTATTACTCAGGTGAGTACTGAAATCGCACGATTCGAGCTTCTCCAAGCTTGGCGCTATGTAGCTGAGACTGCCCAATCTAATCTACAGTACACCATGAGCGGCGACTCTACTCTCGAAAGCATCCGCTGGGGCTGCCGAGAGTTGACCAAAGAAGAAGCGGACGACTACTTTGTCATTGCACTTTCCGGTGAGCTGCATGACATCTTGGCCAATTCCAGACAGTGCCGAGTGACTGAACACTGCCAACACTGAACACTGCCAACTTTCTTCCCTTCGAAAGACGCTAATTTGGGCAGGTACGGCATTACGACGGATATGCTCGCCAAAGCACTCAGAAGCAACGAAAAGGTGAGGCTGCTTCGATGAGACGATCTTGTATCCGCGTTGGAGCTGACAGCACATCGGAATTTGTCACCGTGATGCTTCAAGGTCAAGGGCAGCGTTATCTTTCTAGACGGCCGATCATCGGAAGGCAAGCAGACAGCAGCACAGCTGCCCGGATGTGAGTAATGACATGATCGGACAGCTTTTCAAGCTCTGAGTGCTGACCGTATAGCGCACCATGCGCCGTGATCCGTGCACACCGCATGCAGTGGCCTATTCGGTCATCGATCTTCGTCAGCTGCCTCAGACTTTTGGAAGCTTGTTGGAAGCTGCTCTTCATCAATAGTGTCCATCCTTGGTATCTCACCAAGCTGCACTCTGTTCACATTTGCCTTGCCACGCGACTCTGTTACTATGCTCCATTTTTATCACCAGATAGATTCAATGAAGCTTTGTGTGTTCTTCATCAGGTACCGAGCATGATGGAGTCGTGCGGAAGGAAAAATAGTACTGTGTCCGACAGAAAACCGGTAAAGAGACTGGCGGTAGCGCCAATAGCTACAATGTATGGACATATAGAGCGGGCTTTATGTACATCGAAGTCTTCGAGTGGGCTTGGGTG